GAATGCCCCGCACACGGCAAAGTGTGTCACATCAGATGATTGGGACATGCCATACGCCCGGAAAACTGCTGCATTCCCTTCGAGCCATTCATACACCGAAAAGTTTGGCCTTCAGTTGGCCGCATCGATGAAGCCTATGGGGACAGAAACTTGATGTGCAGTTGTGCATTGACTAACTTTTGTGAGCAAAACTGTTGCAGTGGGAGGCAGTATTTTTTAATTTATTTATTGCCAATTTTATATTTTTATTTGTTTCTGCATCCGTTTCTTGGGTGGTGGAGTGTTTTGGGCCTATTTGTGTCTGGTGTGATAAAACTGAACGGGGGAGAGGGATATGATTGTGTGGGTGTGTGTGTCTGTCTGTGTGGTCGCAGAATGATTTTATGGTCTTATTCTTTATCTTGTCAGGTGCTCTTCCTTAGGATGTACAATAATTCCAATGCGAAGATGCCTTGCCCTTGCAATCGCCTGGATTTTTCCAGCTTATTATTCCCTTTGTTAATACCGTTGTTGATTTGTCAAGGCAAAGCTTCACTGCAGCCATACAAATGCATGTTTGCGGGATTTTTTTTTTGTCAGGCCAAATGTGGGGGGAACTAAGGCGTCTGCCTTTCCCTCACTGTCGTCAAGAGTATTCCGGATGCTCATCACGCAAACGTCTCAGATGTAATTTTTTCCTCAGTTTTGAATGATGTCTTACACTTCAACAACCCCCAACTTTGAGGTAAATGGGGGCTACGACGAGAGGGAAATTTTCTACACTTTTTTTTGTTGTATCTTTTATTTTTCGTTTTCTCTCGTTGCTGTTAGAAAACATTGAACGAGAGGGTTTTTTGCTCTTTTATTTTATTTGTCCTCTCAGCCGGACGGCCAGTTGTACACCGAAGTGCTCCTCGGCACCTCAGTTGGGACTGTCAATCGCATGCGCCAACCTTCCGTTGCTTTTTTGCATTGACGCAATTATTTTTATTTATTAACTGAAGCCATTCAGTCCGGAGTGTCATTTTGATTGGATTGTGCGGGATTGCCCGCCAACACCATCAAACAAAACAGTCTGAAGAGTTTAATTATTTAAACGTCGTCTTGTGCGCACGTATTTTTTTACTTGTTCTGTTGATGCGCACTCAAACAGCGCGGGATCCGGAAATATGCGTGCGTGGGATTATTCCTGTCATTTGAACTGCAGGCAACACCGAGGGGCTGCCACTTTGACTCCGCAGAGTTGTTGTGTCTCTTCGCAGGGTTGTCAGGGACATTCCATGCAGCCTGCTACTGCTGGTGTGTCCTCAAATGTTGTCACTCCATGCGAATAATTTGGTTTAGCGAGTGAGGGTGTTGATTAGGTTTGTGTGCACTCTGATTCTGTTTGCTGCTTTGTGCGGGCACGCAACACTTGAGTGGTGGGAAAATGGAGCGGGCGATGCATGGCTGCGTCCAGCCCATCGTTCACTGCACGATGGTGTGGTGCACACTGTGGTGCTGACTCTGCGATGTGACTGCGGTCTCCTGCGCGGCAATGGCGGTGGAGGAGAGTGTTGGCCTGCGGCGGGACGGTGGGATCGTGCCTCCTTTTCTCTTTGTTCCTTCCCTTTTGTGAAGGTGCACTCATTACTAGTGTTAGTGATAGGGCAAACGGACAGACAACGTGGATAAAACAAAATAAAAAGGGCGATAATGTGGCGGTGTTGTGGCCGATTGCAAGTTGTGTTGCTGCGGAGGCGGTGGGTCTTGACTGTTTCACCGACAGGCGTTGCAGTGCGGCTGCGTGGCGCACCGACCACCGAGCCGTGCGAGTGCCACGCCCAACGCCATTGGGACTGCGGGACGAGACAGTCGCGGATGTCGTTTGGAGCCAGCGGCACCTGCTGGCCGCAGTTGGGCGGTGCGAGTGGGATGCTTCACCGCACGGGTGTTGTGATGGCACCTCGCCGTGGCATCCCCGACGATGGTTCCGACGCTGCAGCTCGACATGTGGCGGGGAGTAAAGTGTGGCCGCAGTGGACCATGAGCAGCAGCGTTGAGGACATTCTGCTGGGTGGAAGCAATAACAGCACAGACATGAAGCTGAACGATTTCCTCCGGAGCAACTTGGGCGATGAGTGGGTTGTGGAAAGAAAAGGGAACGTCATTATGGAGGTGTTTGTTCAGGAGCCGGATGCTTACGTGCAAGACCAGCGGCTTCTTAGAATTATTTTTAATTTAACAGAGTACCAAGAGATGGAAAGGGAGTTGGATGAGATGAAAATTCTATTGGAGGCCATTACTAAGCTTCACCACGAGGGTTTGGTCTCGCTCGAGCAATGGAGGGACTATGAGGGAAAGGATACAGTCACTCCCATTGCAAGGGGAAAACTAAACGCAGCCCTCACTCAGATACTGAGAGAAGCGTGGCGGAAGGCAGAAGAAAGGGTAAGACGAGCGCAA